CCATGAAGCCTGGGTCCGCCGTCTTGCCCTGCACGATGACACACGTAACAAGACGGCAATCGGGTGGCGAGAGATCTGACGGGGACATCCAGTCAGCAAGCTGTGGCCCGGGAATGGATTTCTGGGAACTCGAAGAAGACGAAGTGGCCTACAGTTGGCTCCGGGCATCCAAAATGTGGCCCGGGAATGGAGTTCTTGGGGCTCGAAGACTACGGAGTGGCCCGCAGTTGGCTCCGGGCATCCAAAATGTGGCCCGGGAGTGGAGTTCTGGGAGCTCGAAGACCACGAAGTGGCCTACAGTTGGCTCCGGGCATCCAAAATGTGGCCCGGGAGTGGAGTTCTCGGAGGCGCCGGATGCCTCCCCGAGTGATTTTGCGAGGATGTTCCAAACGATTTGGGCGCCGCCGGAGGCCTCCCCGATGGCTATCCGGGTCCCGCCCCGACCCCCCCATGGGGAGTCATTGGGTGCGCCGGATGCCTCCCCGGTTCCTGTCCGGGTCTTGCCCCGACCCCCCTGAGGAGTCATGATGCCTTTTTTGAGCCCACTAGAAACCTATCAGCAAAGGCTGTTAGGTACAAATTCCAATCGGAATCCTCTTTTTAGGATCCCTTCAGTGTCCTATAGGATTCCATGGGAACCCTATAGGAATCCTATAGGATCCCTGCAGGGTCATACAGGATTCCGTATGCATCCGACTGTAATACTATTGGATTCCGATGGGATCCCTACAGGGTCCTACAGGATGCCGTAGGATTCCGATAGGAATCCTATAGGATCCCTATAGGATCCTTGCAGGATTCCATAGCAACCCTATAGGAATCCGAGAAGGGGGCACTATAGTATCCCTACAGGGTCCTACAGGATTCCTTCGGAACCCTAAAGGAATACTATAGGATCCTTACAGGTTCCTGCAGGATTCTATCGGAGTCCTATAGGGAGGAGGAGCTGGCCTCGCTGGCGCGCGGTCGGTTTTCGGACACAGGAGTGCGTGGGGAACAGTAAGGGAGCCCACGGAGAATCGGAAGCACATAGATTTACGTCAGCGTATGATAGAGGTGTTGCGCGTTGCTCCCCCCCCCCCCCGGGGGCAACAACTGCAACGCGTGGCCTGGGGGAGTGCGCTCGCCCCGTGGGCGAGGATGCCACCGCGGGCCCCGCCGGGGTGGCCTGAGAGGTTGTCCTTGCGTAGTAGTAGTAGTTGTTGTTGTTGTTGTTGTTGTTGTTGTTGTCGTCGTCGTCGTTGTTGTTGTTGTTGTTGTTGTGATTGTTGTTGCCATCTCGGGGAGACGTACCCAGAGGTCTTTTAGAAAACGTTTTGTTACCGGGCTCAACGCGACGTTATCTGATAACGCAGGGCGTTATCGGATAACGTGTGCCACGTGTTTCTTGTATGCCATTAATTTTTCCACCGAAGACATTATCATCACATCACCATCATCATCACATATAATATGATCACGCGTTGATCATTTTATAGCGGCTCTCGCTTGAGACATTCTCTTCATATTATCTTGGAAGCCTGGCGTTGCCTGTCTCGGGCGCCAGTAGTGAGTCGTTGTGCGAGTGCGAAGCTCGGGTGACTGAGGATTGAGAGCACATCGAAGATACCTAGGAGGAGGGCGATGACGAAGAGGGCAAGGATGACGAGGAGGAGGAGGAGGAGGAGGAGGAGGGAGGGAGGAGGAGGAGGAGGATGAGGAGGAGGAGGAGGAAGAGGAGGAGGAGGAGGAGGAGGAGGAGGAGGAGAAGGAGGAGGAGGAGGAGGATAAGGAGGAGGAGGAGGATGAGGAATCAATGACGTTCGTGAGGGCAGATGGGCGTCAGCTCGACTGTCATCGATCCGTTGTCACTGTGCAGCCGTTCTGGCTTCGGATGAGATCCTCCAGGAAGCTGGAGTTTTCGTTCCGTCCCAAACAGTTTTGGGACGCGCCGCTCGGCCGCCAGCTCGAGCGCAACCGAGCTGTCATGAGCGCTGCGACGGAGGCGGAGCTCCGCCAGCAGCTCGCCGTGCAGGCCGCCGAGTTGCAGGCCATGCGAGAGCTCTTGAACAGAATCCAGGACACGGTCGATGCACCCGAGCCTCGCGTGGCCGCCGCCGCCGCCGAGGTGCCCAGTGCTGCTGCTCCCGCGCCCGAGGCTGCGCCTGCCGAGATGCCGCTCGAGGTCGGGCCGCCCGTCGTTGCCTCGCCCGCGCCTGTCGAGCGCCCCAGCGAGCCCGATCGCGGCGAGGTCATCAACATCGGTGATAGCGTCGACAGTGCTGATGATGCGCCGTCCACCGTGCAGGGACACCCTGAGGAGATGCAGACGCAGTTGGACGGTGTCTCGCACTTCGAGGACGCTCAACTACCGCTGGGTTCCAGCTTCGTCGACGCCGGCCCTGGTGCAGCCGAGAGCATCGAGCAGGCCATCCAGCAGAGCCTCGAGCAGGCGCAGACGGACGGCGTGGACCCATCACTGGTGCCTGACTTCGCGAAGGACGCGAGCAGCGCGGCGAGGTCTGCGAGCTGGCGTGCTGATGACATCGAGGGCGTCGGCACCAGAGGCGATGACAGCGCCAGGTCGCGCAGCGGGAGCACGCGCAGGGCGGCGTCGGCACCTCGGGCGGCCAGCAGGAGGCAGAGATCGTCGGACATCGACTCCGACGACGCCCCGCTGTCGAGCAAGTCCGAGCGCCCGCCCACGGCGCCGAGGCGCAGGAGTCGCAGCAGGAGCCGCACCTGCGACGCACACTCGTCGCTCGGCGACCTGACGGAGCAGGACCGCACCGAGGGGAAACCAATAGGATGAGGATCCAGGAGTAAACGAATGAGCAGGACGAGGGAGGATATAGGTTTCATGCAGCAATCTCACTGTTGTGGAAGCGTTCTAGGCGAACGCGCGTACTCGATATGCAACACAATGTATATCGGGTCAGGGACTCGGTGAGTCCAATGAGTTTGAGGCTTGGGTGAGGGTGATGTTGATGATGATGATGACGATGACGGTGGTGCTGATGATGCTGCTGATGATGATGATGATGCTGGTTATGGTGATGATGATGGTGATGATGATGCTGATGCTGATGCTGATGCTGATGATGATGATGATGATGATGATGACGCACTGTGTACATGCAGATTGATTTGGTTAGTTCGGTGAGTCTGAGGCTCGGATGAGGGTGATGATGATGACGATGAGGAGGAGGAGGAGGAGGAGGAGGAGGAGGAGGGGAAGATAAGGAATGTATGAGGAGGAGGAGGAGGAGGAGGACGGTGGAGGAAATGTGAACAGTAGTGGCTTGGAAGAGGTGAGGGGTCTAGGTATGGTACCAATCCCTCATGGAAATGACTGGGGGTCCGAGGGTATGCAGTATACAGAGGATGGGTATGGATGTGATCGGGGGAATGACACTGTAACGTGAATACTTCGCAACCTCCATCGCAAACTCCATCGCGATGGAGATTGCGATGGAGGTTGCGTTTCGGGTATCATCTGCGTTTCCGTGCACGTGCTCTGGGTGGCCGGATTGCCCCAGTGGGCTGTGTTTATCTAGAAACCCACGCAACAACACTAATATTGGCTGATGTCGGACTCGTCCGATTGGTACCATGCCCAATGTCTCCTCACCCCCCCGCCCCCACCCCTGATCGCGCCCCCCACCCCCTCTCCTCCCACCGCCCCTGCTGCGCCCAGGAGCTGCAGACGCTCAAGAAGGTCACGCGCAAGACCGCGTGTGAGGTGGCGATGGGCAAATTCGACAACATCGAGGCCACCGCTCTAGCTCTCTTTCCTCATCCGCCTCTGGCTCCTCCCTCTCCTCCTGGTCACCATCGCCCTTCACGCCATTCAAACGTTCCGTCGCCGTCGGTTCTTATCCACTACCGCCTTATCATCATGATCATCGTATACTCTCCCCTCGAGCATCATCCCCTTTTCCTCGTGACAATCTCCCCTCTCGTCCTCCACCTCCCCATCGCCCTCCACCTCATCCAGCAGCATCCTGCTCCATATATATAGATGCCCCTTCATCTTCGCAACCTTGCCCGTCATGGTCGTTGCTGTCACTGGCCACCGCCGCTCGCGTCGCAACAGTCGCCGCTCGTGCTCTCGGATGCGTCGCCATGATAACCACCTCGTCATTCATATCGCCATCGAGGCTCGAGACAGCGGGCATCGCTCGAGTCAGAGGCGGTGCGGATGAGCGACGACGACGGGAGTGAGATCGACAGATCAGCGCTGGAAGCTGTCTGGTCTAAGTATATAGTCGGCCCAGATTTTCTGCAATGCACCTCGGCAGTAGCAAAGCAGGCCAAGTTGGACAGAGATCTCCTTGTAAAGTACAAAAAGCTATTGAAGGACACTCGCCAAGTTTCAGAGCACGTCCCTGTTCCTGTTGCCAAGGGCACCTGGGCCAATCAAAACCGAACCATTAGTTTTAATAGTTATACTAGCTAGTGGGCCTCTAATACAGGAGATCCTGCTGTCCGTGGCCAAAGATAAGGAATCGACGTGGCACTTATCGACATCAGCAGACAACTGGGCCACGGACACGAGCAAGCAATTCGTCAACATGTTGAGGGACATCCGCCAATCTATCTCCAAGTGTCGGGACCCCAAACTGACCACCACAAACACTTGTAGTTGAACAAATCGTGACCGTGGCCCCTTAAATTAAACAATGCGTCGCAGGCAAGCTGTGTGGGCCGAGTGCTTCAAGAAATCCGAGGACGAGGATGACCGAGAATCTGAGGCCGAGGATGAGGACGATTTGGGTTGGTCGAAACCACTTCGCACCTCACCTTCCCGGGCCTCCTCCTCCTCCTCTTCCTCCTCCTCCTCCTCATTGCCATCCTCCTCCTACCAGCTCACCATCTTCGCCCCCCTCGTACCCTCCCCCTTGAGCGTCAAGTGCAATTCCATCCTCGTCAGGATCATCCTAACATCCTCCTCGCCCACCCTCTTCATCCTCCTCGCTCCAACATCCCCAGTCTTGCCGTTTTGGCGATCGCGCGTGCAGGACATGACTGCCGCAGCCGATATGGCCAAGCGGCCCGCGGCTGCAGCATCCGGTGCCCGCGCCAGCCCCAGCCACAAGAGGCTCATCGCGCTGGCCGCGGAGACGCTCGACGGCTGGAGCTTGGGTTACCAGCAGGAGCTGCAGGTGACATTGATGCAGCAATATCCCCGCTTGAATATCAAGCATAGTGGATGGCACGGACGGGGTGGCAGCACACTGTCGCCCTGACCTTGTCACCCAACGGGTGCGGATGTTGACCCGAGAACGTCGCCAGATCCAACGCGATCGACGTGGTGGTAGCCCGTGAACGGGCTGTTCCATCGCGATCTCCATCGCGATGGACTTCGCGATGGACTCGGGTCGACATCCATCTCAAATAAACGAACGCCGTGCGAGTATCAACTGAACAGATGATATTCACAGCGGTCGTGACTTCAAGATGTGGATGTTGTTGCATCGGCCCCTCAGTCAGCGTGGCGCGTCAAGACAGACGACGCGGGCGCCTTGCCGCAGTGCGCCAGAGTCGCTCGGGTCGAGGGCGAGGAGACCCTCGTCGCGAAGTGGGCCGACGACGACTTCGAGTGGAAGATCCCAGGCGCGACGGCAGGCGCGGCGCCGCAGGACAAGGGCACGCAGACGCTGTGGTCTGGGCGCGACATGGACGGGGGCAAGGTCACGGTGATCGTCGTCAACCACAAGACCAGAGGCGCGTGGCTTGCGATCAGGAAGGGGTCGAGGACGCAGGTGGTGCAGATGCAGGGGTTCAACCCGAACAGCATGAGCGACGCCAAGAAGAAGATGATGGAGTGGGCCCAGTCGTTCTGCTCTGCCAAGATGGACAAGCCAGCGATTGAGGCCGCGAAGGCGGAGTGGCTCAAGGTGAACCGTCCAGACGGCTGGGCCCCGAAGGGCAAGGGCAAGGGCAAGGGCAAGGCAAAGGCGAAGGGCAAGGCCAAGTGCAAGGCAGTGCCGAAGGTCAAGCACGAGGCTGACAAAGCTGAACACGACGCAGGTGAAGGTGCTGAGAGTGAGAACCATTCCGAGACATCGGAAAAGGAGAGCGACGCTGGCGATGATGATGAGGATCGCGGTGGCGGAGCTGCTGAGGGTGGTGGGCCAGATGAGGCAGACGAGAAGCAGGGTGACAATACCGCCGACGGTCATGTGGTGAGGAAAAGGCCATCCGCAGCGGCGCCTGCCGCCAGCCCGTCGAAGAAGCCCGCTGCTGCCATCGAGACCACGCCGCCGACTGCGGCGGCAGCATCCGCGGTGGCGCCAGCAGCTCCCAGCCCAGGTCCGATGGCGCTCAAGCCACCGCCACTGCCCGACGACATGTTCATTGACTAAGGGGCACATGTGTTGTCAAAAAAAAGTGCGCCATCAGTCATATCATCGCTTCGGCTGCTGCTGAACGTCTTACAGTCAGAAGTTGCTTGGCCGCAGTCAGATGTGGATGCGTGCATCGTGGGCCTCTCGGGCCTGAGGGTGATCATATGTGCCTGGGTTTGTGGGTGCCCGTCCACGGCATAGCTACGGGTTGCAGAAGTATTGCGGTTCCCTGTCGTGACTTTCGTTGTGTGATTGCGTTGCGTTCTGCATTGGACTTGTGATCTGAAGGTGCAGCGACATCATGTGTGCATTGCATTGCGTTCATCGTTCCACGGAGCACCGAGATCGATATCGAAATCGAATTTCAACATCGAAGCTTCGAAACTTAACACTACGAAGCTCAAACCTTCGAAATCAACACCGAAACTTCGAAGTCGAACTCGAACTTCGGACCTGGTTAAGGTGTGGCCGTCGATGCATGTCGTTCAGCATGGCAGATCGTCCTTTCAGATCGTGGACCTGTCACTTCCTGGAGTCTCGCACATCCCCCTCGCCCAGCGCCTGTCAGGCGATGATCCGCATGTCGCAGAGCGGGCAGCCCGGCGAGCTGGAGGTGGCCAAGCAGTTCATTGACGCATGCAAGTCGCAGAACTTGAAGGTGATTCGGTCGCTGAAGGGCCAGTCGGACGATGCGAACTCACAGTTGGCTGGGGACGTCGACGCCGAGGGGAAGCTCATGAACCCGTCCAGGTGGGGCTTGTTGACCGACGGCGGCGCCAGCAACCACCAGCCATGCGGAGCCGAGCCGCCGAAGAAGCGGGGCAGGGGCAAGCCATCGATGGAGGATGAGGAGAAGTTCTGGGAGGAGGTCAAGCAGGCAGACTTCCAGGTGCCAACAGATGGCAGGCTCGGTCGAATCGCAAGCCGTTGGAACCGCGCCATCAAAGACCCAGAGCTGAAGAAGAAGTACGACTCGACTACACAAGCGGTCGGGCAGAGCATGGACGAGGCCAAGCGCAAGTTCCGCGTGGACTGGGCCAAGGACGAGTATAAGGCGTTCTTGAAGGAGAAGAGCATCACCACCACGAGCTCGCGCAGCACCTTCACCAACATGGTGTACCTCCCTCTTGGGCGTATAGCTCATAAAGAGGGAGGAGGCCGCTTGGGGTGGATCCAGGCGGGCTCGCACTCCCCCATCCTCCTTAACCCACCTTCTCTCCATATAACCATCACTGCTGATGTCGCGATCGCCATTGCCCACCTCATCTGGCGAGGCGGTGAAATACGTGTCCAAGGCCCTCGTCATGGGGGCGCCGTGGGTCCTCTGGGATGAGATGACGGAATCGGTCCGAGTGCTGTACGTGACGAAGGGGATCAACCAAGTGTTCACGGTGGCGTGGCAGCAGCATGAGAAGTGGACCAACGAGGAGACGCAAGGATAACACTAGTTCGGTAAGAGATGTATCCAGAGGCGGACGATGAGGAGGACACGGACGATGAGGAGGTGGAGGAGGAAGAACGAGGATGATGATGATGAGGATATGAGGAGGAACACGAGGAGGAGAAGGAGGGACATGCGGAGGAAGCGACGAGGGAAGACGTGGACTACGAGGAGGAGGAGGAGGAGGAGGAGGAGGAGGAGGCACGACACGGTTGGGAGTGCAATGTTGTGAGACCACTCGATCTCAGGATCCCAGGGCGCTGGGCAACGGCGTGCGGCTGACCTCAGAGGAGAATGCTGGATCCACAGGTGCGGGATCTACAGGTGCGGGATCTACAGGCGCTGGATCAACAGGTGCTGGATCTACAAGTGCGGGATCTACAGGTGCGGGATCTACAGGTGCGGGATCTACAGGTGCAGGATCATCTACAGGTGCGGGATCATCTACAGGTGCGGGATCTACTGGCGCTGGATCTGCAGGTGATGGTGCAATCGCCACTGCCAAGCAGAAGGCGAGGGCCAAGGGCAAGACCAGAGCATCGTCGGCTGGTGGTGGAGGCGGCGGTGATGGTGGAGATCATGCGCAACCCACTGACAGGGTGAAGGAGCTGGAGGGCGAAGCGAAGAAGGTCTTGCTCAGGTGCGGTGTTGCATCTGGCACTGCCTACAACATCATGACGAACGTGGAGAGGCATCCTGAATGGGCGTGGGGCAAGAACGACACTGATGTGAACGCGCTCAAGGCAGCGACTGGGGAGCTCGCGGACACGGTGATCCAGAACTCGCTCTTGAGCAAAGCCACGACGTCCAAGTTCAGCGGGCTGAAGGCAGTGTTCGGTGACAACTACTTGGTGGGCCTCCAGTCCTTGAAAGAGCTTGGCCCCAAGCTGGACAACATCGTGAAGCTCACGGAGACCATCGTCGGGGTGCACAAGCTGAAGACGAGCGACTCGCTGTCCTGAACCACTCTCGCGATGCACGGCATCGTCTGGCATCGCGGTGGGGTTCCGCGAGCTGGTGCGCCCCGCGCAGGTGTGTTCGACACCGGGGGGCGTCAGGTGCACCTGCAGCCAGGCGCTCCTGGGGATTCAGGCGCGCAGTCTATGATGTAAATCTGACTGAGCAGCAAGTTTGTGATCGCATTGAGCATTTTTGAAACGGGAGACCCGGTGACCCAATCATTTCATGGTTTCAGAGGGCCGGTTTAGCGATGGAATCCATCGCGATGGAATTTAGCGATGGAGCCATCAAACCATATATATATATATATGTATACGAAAATTAGCGATGGAGTGGACTCCATCGCAAACTCCATCGCGATGGAGTTTGCGATGGAATCAGGGGCCCGGTAACACCCGGTAACTTTTGAAGATGTTGGACAGTTTCGGTCAGATTTTCATGTCGGTGTTGTTTAATTTCCCGACTGGGGAGGCACGCCGTGCAGACATTCACGTCTGAGATGGCGCGTGCCAGCGATTTGAGGTGGGGCCTCGATCACATGTCTGAAACGCGGTGCGAAATCTCATGCACTATAGTGTACTGGAGGCTATTCGAAGCCAACAAAGTTCGGTAATCTCGAGCTGGATCGCTCGTGGGTGCAGCAATGCGTTAGTTTACTAGGTGCTTGCCCGCGGCACCAACGGCCACGGCTCGGTTCGTGATGCATTGGCGTCGCAACCCCTTCCCCTCAACAGTTCCGATATTTCAGATATATGGGCCCACTGTTCCAGAAGGGTATACCTCCTCTCCTCGACTGCGCGCCGTGGCCAAGTCTAGCGGGCACATCTGACCAGCTGTGTTTCAACGCAAGCTGGTGGCAGCGCCAGTGGTCAAGCATGGCGTGAGTGGAGTGAGTTCGTGATATTGCTGCACGTGCGTCTTTTGATGCAAAACACAACACCACCCGTAGCATGGCACGGAATCGGACTGAGTCTCGTTGTTCAGGATCTCTTCGTCGCATCAGATGGGCGCAACCGAATGCTGGAATAGAAGAGGGTGGCCGTAACCGTGTAATCATAGCATGCCATGCACCGCACGGCACAATCAAACTAACAAAAAACGCACTCGGCACCATCAACATACACCTCATCCACCTCCAAATCCTCCACCTCCATCTCAGCCACTCACATCTCCTCATCTCCTGATGTGCCTCCTCCACTAGAGTAAAATCACCACCCCGCCCCATCCACCACTCGCCCCACGCTCACCGCACTATATGCCCTGGCAGCGGAGGGGGGGGGGGGGGGTCACGATGTTCGAGAGATATCACTTGACCAGTGACGGGGGCAACGGCTTAGAACCTAGGCGTGGTCCGATCGAAGGTTGACCGACGAACGCAAACGGGGGCGATGAGGAGAGCGATGATGAACAACAACGATCATGACTCAACCAACGGCACACAACAACAAAAAGCACGGAATGGGCATGCAATAACAACACATGTAAACATAGAGTTGGGGATGGCGATGATGGGTAATCGAATGTAGATACAGGGGATGATATGATGCACGCGTGCGTGAGTGTGTTTTGTGCATAGCTATTTTTCTCAAACGGGTCAATGCAAGCACGGGGCCATGCCCCCCGACCGAACCAGATCACCGCCACTCGACCGCAGGCGATGGGTCCCAACCAGCAGCTCACAGCGCGAGGCGGGGGCCAAACTGTTCGAACACATGATTTCCCTATATGCTCGCTGTAAATTATCAGCCAAGGACTTCAGCACAGCGATGTGGTACCTTGGTGAGGCGTCAACGCCTGGCGCTGATTTCAAGCTTTACGGTTTGCACCCCGACAGCCAGACTGGAAAATTCCAAGATCATCTGGACAGGGTGTTACCATCACCACAGCACTTATACATGTTGGCAGTCCCAGGCAATGAACATGGGAAGGCGATCAGACACGTGACACATCATGCTATGAAGTGCGTGTGGGAGTCACTGGAGGAAGAACTCACACAGCGGCAGTTCGACGATAACAACGCCATGCGGATCATGCAGCAACATCCAGCCGAGAGGGGTGAGACCGCGTACAAACATCATCCAGTCACAGTGCGGTGTCGGGAAGCACATCTGCATCCTCCAGTACCCCTGGCTCTCTACTTAGACGGTGTGACCTATCAAAAAGGTGCGTCTGGTCGTAACGACACAGCTGTCGGGTACTGGTGCGTCAACCTTCTCACGCGGCGGAGGCGCTACATAGGATCGCTGCGCTCATCAGACGCATGCCAGTGCGCTTGTCGGGGATGGTGCTCCACCTTCCCGATGCTTGAATTTTGCAGGTGGCAATTCGAAGCTATGTCAAACGGTCGGCGCCCAACCATGCGTCATGACGGCAGCCCATGGCCAATCAATGACCCATTGGGATCGGGCGCCGAGCTGTCATATACAGCGCGTCTCCTTTGGGTCAAGGGTGATTGGAGCGAACGCGCCCACTCACTCGGACTTCAGAGTTGGGCGTCGAAGTTCAGCCCGTGTCAGTTCTGTTCGCTGACCAAAGAAGAACTTCGCTCTTTAGACGAGCACCTCGGCGATGTCGAAGGACCGCCGTGGCCGCTGCGGAACCACAATGACTACTTCAGGGATTGTGAGCAGTGCGACGTGAAATTAACATTGCAAACACCAGCACATCGCGCCGCGCTCCGGGAACACATGTCGTGGATTCGGGCCACCAAGAAATCCATGGGCGGCCGCGTGATCAGGCGTGATGTTACTATCAATGGAACTGTTTTACTCGACGGCGACAGACTGGAACCCAGTAGGGAGCTTCTCGACACAGGCAGGCTCGAACGAGTGGCTCTGCCGATTGCAATTGTCTTTTGGCGTGCACGACGGAGCGGGCAGTCTGTCATAGATTCAGTGAATCACCGATGTCCGATTTTTGCGCCCGAGCTCGGGACGAGCCCACACGCTAGTCTAGCAATCGATTCATTGCATTGCGTCTTTCTGGGGCCAGTGATGCGGTTCACATCATCCGCCTTGTGGCGCCTCGTGTTGCATAATCCTTGGGGGTGCACTGGCGACTCAGATACTGTGCTCAGCATCGGTGTCAGTTTGCTGACGGCCGAGCTCGAAAAATGGCAAATCGATGCAGGCATTCGGCATCAGGATCGCATCAAGTCCTTGACGCTGAGGATGCTCGGCAAACGGCGGGGATGTTCCCTCCAGGGCGCATTTTTTGCTTGCGTTCATATGCTAGCAAATAGTGCGGTGATGAGTGTAGTGAAGATTGGGGGTAATGAGGATGAGGATGGGCGTGGAGTGCGAGGCTGAATGATAGGGTGGTTGGAAGGTAAGCCACGAGGGAGGGATAGCCCGACAAGATAAGGAGGGAAGGAGGAGGAACCATGGTAAAGCACGCGCGTTCGCTTGGGACATCCTCACAATCTGGTCGCGCTTGTGTAGGTGTGGGGGCCCCACTCGTATCGAAGCACAATGTTTTCTGATGTTGGATGGCGTGGGTTTTGGCGGTGCACGCGTTCTAACGTGGGCATGCTTGAGAGTATAATACTCGCTCTTCAGGAAAAGAATCACCCTGGGGGACACCTATCCTGTAAAGCAGCAGAGGCGAATATCCTCATGCGGTTCGCACTAGACAGGCTCGAGGCGCACGGGGGGGGGGGCGCGTGTTTGGAAGCGCTCTGGTTGGAGCAGGGCAATCACTGGTCGAGCTCGTAGATATGATCAAGCAAAACAAACATCAACCACCACTACCTGTATTCCAGTCAATGCTCCGTGCTATGGACATGCACATCAAGTTTGCCAAACATGCGAAGGTAGGGATGACGCCAAAAACACCACTTGATGTGCCACATGCTCGCCAGGACTGTTGCGTTTGAGACGGGGGTGATGCAACATTGTTGTGTTTGTCGTGGGGACCTCTTGTCATTCAAGGTTGGATCTACTCGAGATTCTGCGATCACTGCGGCATTATCGTGCAGTCGGGCGCCGCCATGGAAGGTGGCATGTATTGTTCACCGATAGTCATTCGTCCTTATGTGTAATGTTTACTGTTTATCCTGGTCGCTTCAACCTAATTCACGAACCCCCTAACCCTCGTTTCCCTAACCACCCCCTACCACCAACAACTGCCCCACGCCCCGTTCTAGTTTCTAGTTTGGAATGCTGCGTCGCCCCTGGCTTTGGGCTGTGTTGGGAAAACTCCAGGATTCCGACACATGGTGGACCTAAGCAATACGGTTGCTTCTTAGACGAAACGTTAAATATTATGTTACGCGATGTTGCACAGTTCAGCCATCGGCTCACTTTTTCGCGAAGGTCGCATCAGTTGATCGAATTGCAGGGGTTCCTTGCAGGGCCACACTCTAAATACTTGGCATCGTCAGCGGGATGGTCTCGTCTTTCTTCTCGACAGCGGTCGTGATGTTTGCTCTGCTGCCTGTGGCGCTTGGTATCCCAGCCGGCGTTGATGGTGGTGATGTGAACACGGCTGCGTTCCTCTGGGCTACCTCCAAGGCCGTGGCGTTGGACGAGCTTCCAGGTGACGATTTCCTTGACATGCCAAACATGTTCTTGTGCAAAGCCATCGGGCACATAGTTGAGGAGCTCCCAAATATCCCCCGCACCACTGCTCTATTCGAAGTGTTTGCAGGCAAAGCCTCAATCGCACGTGCAATGAGAGTACGCGGGTTTTCTGCATATTATTTTGAGTGTGACAAGCATCCTTGGCACGATGCGTGTACGTTTGTGGGAATATTATACTGCCTCTGGATGATAGCATCTGTGGTGGAAACTGGGCTGGTGTGGTTCAGTCCCCAATGCAGCACCTGGGGCCAGATGTGCAACCACCACACGCAGAGGTCGACTGGCATGCCGCTCGGGGACCCTGATCGTCGTTTGGACGTCCGCGAGGCGAACTTCATTTCTCAGCTCCTGTGACCAGGGATGGAACTAAGTGTGGCACCAGTGTTCGCTCAGGTGGGGCAGTTGATTTCGTCGTCACGCTG